GAGATAAATGAATTTACCACGGTTTACCAAAATCATGCAAATAGAAAAAAGTTACCTACTCACAACCATCCTTTATTTCTCATATGGAAATTATGTAGTAAGGCTGCATTTATTCATAATCTCTTATAATACCTGACCAAGTTTACCTTTGATTACTTAGCAAATGAACAATATAAATAAACAATTATCACAGGCAATTGTTAAGTCCACTTAAAACATCTATTGTTGAAATCCTTAAATCACTTTAACATCATCTGTTTACATACAAGTTTAAAATATGCTAATTAAATAATTTGTAATTTTATTTACTTATTTTAATTTTACTTTTTTTAGAGACAGGGTCTCTCTATGTTGGCCTAGACTAGACTTGAACTCCTACCTCAGCCTCCTGAGTAGTGGAGATTACAGGATACCACTATATGCCTGGCTTAAAATGATTTTTAATTGATATCTAAGCAGGTCTAGAAGAAATTCTGGCTAGGCACTGTTTGCTCTTGGTTTGTCTGAAAAAGAAACCTTTTTAGCCGGGCGCGTGGCTCACGCCTGTAATCCTAGCACTCTGGGAGGCTGAGGCGGGCGGTATGCCGGGTCAGGAGTTCAAACCAGCCTGACAAGAGCGAGCCGTCTCTAGAATAAATAGAAAGAAATTAATTGGCAACTAATATATATATATTAGCCGGGCATGGTGGCACATGCCTGTAGTCCCAGCTACTTGGGGGCTGGGCAGCAGGATTGCTTGGCCCAGGTTTGGGGTTGCTGTGGCTGGCTGACGCCATGGCACTCACTCTCCTGGCAACAAGCGAGACTCTGTCTCAAAAAAAAAAAAAAAAAAGAAACTTTTAACTAATAAGGTGTCATGAGCTAAGGGTATGATTAATTTAAGTCTCTGGACCTAACATTAAATGAAACAAAAACTTCTTTCTCACCATATTTGCTAAGGGCCTTTGAATGTTAGCTTATTCAGGCCACCTGAGCTCACCCCCTAAGTAAAAGCCTTTGCTTTACAGAGTCCTTAGGGTAGCAGGATAACTTGAAAAGACCACTGGGGATAACTGGAAGGCAGTTACAGTGCTAATTCCTTACATTCTATTTTCTAGCAGGTTAATAAAGGGATGCTGTTCTTTCTTATCTGGTAAAATAACTCTCTCAATTATCCTTCCTGTATATTAAAGATTTGCTTAAAGATTGTTTTATAAAAATTCAAATAATGAAAATAAATATTACATGATAGATATCAAGTATGCTTCTGTGAAGGAGGTGGGATTGGAAGCAGAGGTGAAGGGGAATTTTCCTTTTTTATTATATATACAATTCTGTATTGCTTATTTTATAACACATTTATATTGTGTTTATCATTTAAAGGTAAAGTTAAGGGGGAAAAAAAAAAGAAAATGCACCTGAGAGGATCTCGTTTGTGGGTTAAGGATGTATTTCCTCAATTATAACATTAAATCAATACCTATCTGAGCACTTGGGACTGTGTGAAATGAGGATTAAGGTAGGAAGAGATGGAGAGTTATGATTAAGGCAGGACTAGGGAGGGAATACTCTGATGGGCAGTTCTGAAAGAGGCAAGGACTTGGGATAAGAGGAGAGGGCTATGTATCTGGGAGCAGGGTTAGGATTCAACAAAGCCAGACTCTATTAATAAATTCACTTGCTTGTCTGCCCATAAGATGACTAAGGTATTGGCTGGGTACGGGGTTATTTCATTGAAGGGACAGTAGGATGAGGATGTTCACAATAGATCACTGCAGGAGCTGGAATGAAGTAAATTACTACTTCCTTTGAAGAAACGTATCACATGGGACATGTAGGATGGCCAGGCTTGAGTTTGACACTGATAATGGGGAGTTTCCTGGAGTGCAAGAATCAGAGATGTTATAGTCTACAAAGGAGGAATAGCAACAAGGATGGGGTGCAAAGTAAGAGTAGCAGGAAGTGACTGAAGCAGCTGAGAACTAAGGGATAGATATCATGTCTTTCCTTAGCAAGCGGAGGGCACCCTGAGGTCTGTGTTTGGTTTTTAAAATTTCCAATATGAAAAAAAGAATCCACACAGGCAACAGATGATGAAAAAACTATAGTAAAACAATCCAACTTACCACTCTGGTTAACAGCTGGTTCTAAATACAATAGTTAAACTTTCAAGGTCTTCATTCGTTAAATGTAATTCTTCAAGCAGGGTGGCTATAAACTGTGTAAACATCACGTTTTCCTGAGAATGCTTCTGAATGCCAAGAGTCGGGGTCAATCTGAAAAAACGAAAAATACTAAATGCATATGCATGAAATGATAAGGGCTAAGGGACTCCCATCTTCACAATGGCATAGAGAATTTTATGTGGATAATAAAGTCTCTGATTTAACAAAACTCCCAGAGAGAGGTTTTACTAACAAAGGCAGAAGAGAAGTCTCAGAAAAAGATCAAAAGATCAAATATTGTTAAGTATGAAAAGAAGCCTAAAAACCTGAATCTATAACATGTTCTTCATAATGCTAGCAAAAAATACTAAAATTCTGCTCAGAAAATGAACTTCTTTCAGTGGGGAAAGGGAGGTTGTGGAGAGGAGCTTAGAGTTGAGAATGACTTTAAAAACATAATCTATATTGGATATTTGGATTATACTACCTGAAAAAAATAATACATAATAAATAAGATTACCTTTTGGATGAAACCTTAATATTTTTATTTTTTAAAACACTAAATAAAGAAATAAATAACATCTCACAAGGCACTTAATACCAACTTCATAAGGAACAATATGTCTTTTTCTCTAACCATTTCTGGTAAATATGCCTAAAGATTAATTGCATATAATGGATTATTAAAAAATAAATTTCACTGAATTGTGATAAGCATGATTTTTAAAAAGTGAGCAATATCTAATTTAATTACAAAGATTAAAGACTTTTATGTTTCATAAATATTTCTCTCTCTAGAGAGTATGCTTCCCAGAGTCTTTGCAAGTTATATTCCTGGAAAGCTTTTTGGGAGAAAATTCCTTTTTCTCCAAAGAGTTTTACACTTCCTACAGAGCTCTTTCAGATGCTTACTTAATCTTAGTTATTGCCACTGGGCATATCAGATATAAATTAATAAAGCTCAAGAAATAAGAGCAGATCAGCTTTACAGTATTTAGCGTGGAACTTGAGTACAGGACAGACTACCAAGTTCTCAGACTTCATGAGCTTTGCAGGTACTCCCCAAAGGTAGTTTATACTGGAACAGGACTACCCAAGTTTTCCAATGCAAAGTCCAAACTGGGTACCTAGGTAAACCTAGACAGTTGTGGCCACATTTTCCTGAGGAATCTTCCTGCAGAGAAAGTGGAACCCAGAACTCTGGCTTTTCTCATACTTAGGTGATGTTAGCATTTAAAATATAACTTGCTGCTTTCCCACAATAAGGACAGAAATAGCAGGGATGGGATAACATTGGCTAAAATAAAACCAAGAAGTCCAAAGCAGGCAGATCAAATATGTCATCTCCATAGAAACCTAGCTTTTATGTGTATTTAAAATGGTGTATGTGTATGTGTCTGTGTCTGTGTGTGTATATATATATACATATATGAATGACATATCCAAATCAATTTCTCTGACTTTCAAGGAGACAAGTATTTGGTTCATATATGGAAATACAGTTTTCACAATTACTTCTCAAAGTGCCATTAGTACTTAACCCCAATTTCCAAACTTAACCCTAAAATTAAAATTAGAAATAAATGGTGACTCCCAGATTTCTCAACCTGTGTGCCCACTTGAAAGCAGAAAATGTGAAGAATTATTATAAAGAAAGAGCTTATAAGAGAATTCCTCTATCACCTGCCCTAGTCACAAAATATTTTAGGAATAGTAATAGTTCTCTAGCAAATTTATAGGGTTAAAATGATCCTATAAATTAATAACTTCATTATGTGTTCAAATTTATCTAAAATTTTTGTTTATAAAGGAAAAACTAGGGTTAATGAGAAACTTTAGCTAGAAGAAAATAAGAAGGAAAGCAACTGTGTAATCCCACTCTGTGTTCGTGAGTCCATGGCAAGTACTGCTCATCGGAGCTTTTTTTGAGACAGAGTCTCACTCTGTTACCCGGGCTAGAGTGCCGTAGTGTCAGCCTACCTCACAGCAACCTCAAACTCCTGGGCTCAAGTGATCTTCCTGCCTCAGCCTCCCAAGTAGCTGGGACTACAGGCATGCACCACCATGCCCAGCTAATTTTTTCTATGTATATTTTTAATTGGCTAATTAATTTCTTTCTATTTTTAGGAGAGACAGGGTCTCGCTCTTGCTCAGGCTGGTCTCAAACTCCTGAGCTCAAACGATCCACCTTCCTCAGCCTCCCAGAGTGCTAGGATTATAGACGTGAGCCACCGCGCCAGGCCTAGCATTCTTTTCTTAATGAGCTTGTACCTGCTTTGAGAATTCTCAAAACAGGACTGTGAATACCACTTTAACTGTTCAGAGCTGGCTCCTGAGATGAAACCTATTCACTCCCCAGTCTAATCCCAAGCCCTAGGGAAACTATGTATACAACACAATTCTAATACTAGCTCTGCCAGGAATGCTTGCATGATTCTGGGCAAATTGAACTTTAAAACCTTAGCATCTATCTATAAAATGGGGCTAATAATACCTAAGTGCCATAATAGATTATTACAAAATTCAAATGGGATAGCTCTTTTTATCAGTAACATTGACTAACACTGACCGTGTGCTACCAATGAGTACTTATACTATGTATTTGTTCTAAGCATGAATTATCTTCTTTAATTATACAGTGATCCATCCTAAGGGATATAAGTATCATCTCCATTTTATGGACAAGGAAATAAAGGCACAAAAATATAAGTATTTTCCCCAGGGTCACAAAGATAGTAAATATCAGGTCAGGGCTTTGAAACTAGACAATTTATCTCAAAAGCCCAATCTCTTAGCCAATATGCTAGTTTTCATTCTTTGCAAGCTGTAGAGCACTCTATAAATTTACTCACTACTTGCCTAACTGATGTGCACTGTGCCCTCAATGAATGTGCAGAAGGAACAGAATGATTTAAATTTGTTTTAGAGAACTAGAGGACCATATGTAAAAATGGCAAGTAGTTGCCAGGCAGAAGTACTGATAGAAAAAAATCACACAAACTCTGGTATCTGGTGGAGACAGGAATATCAACTTGGGGCCCAGAGATTTCTGCAAGTCATTAAGCAGATAGATAGCAATCCTCAGGCATCTGGAGCCAGGATTTCCTGACTATTCTTAATATTTGACACTTAACATAAGTGTTGTTACATAATTATACTCTTGGAAAGTTAGCCGACGAGATTTCCTTTAACCTTATTTATTCCCTATGATTTCCCTTTTAATCTTTAACTGAAAAGACTTTTTTCTCAAACACAAGTCCCTAACAGAACATATATGATTATAGAACTATATAATATAGTTATCCCTCAGTATCCATGGAGGACTGGTTCTAGGATCGCCCATGGATATACCAAAATCTGCAGATGGCTCAAGATCTCTCATATAAAATGGCATAGTATTTGCATATAACCTATGTACATCCTCCCATATACTTTAACTCATTTCTACATTACTTATAATGTAAGTGCTATGTAAATAGTTGTTATACTGTATTATTTAGGGAATAATGACAAGAAAAAAGTCTACCCATGTTCAGTAGAGGCACAATTTTTTTTCCCTAAATATTTTCAATCCATGGTTGGTTGAATCCATGGATGCAGAATCCATGGATACAAATGGCTCTCTGTATTAACTTTCTAAGAGTTGTAAGTTGACTTAAGTTCTTTTTGGAATAAGGTAAGGTATAAATGAGTAAATACTGTAATGGTTCCTGTGCATCTCTAAGGATTAATAATCCACTGAATTACTTTTAGAGAGTCACATAAAAATTGTGTTTTGTCTTCAAAATTATCCTCTCTAGAAACCAGGCCCATGAATACAAAAAATGAAGAATGGTTTTGACAAGTTATAAAGTCATAATCAATATTATTTGAAAAAAGATGCCAAATCCTGAAAATCTGGTTTATAGTATAATTTTATGAATGATTCAAGAAAATTATGATTTGCTTCTATTTCCAAAATAAAGTTGAATAAGGACTATATATAATCTTTATGTTTTCCAGATTCCTTGGCCCATCTACTTTAACATGTTTTATTAATTTAATGGCAATTGACTACCTGCCCACTCTTCCAGCCTGGCTGCTTACTGGGTATTTTCTGAATTTCCACGTTATCTTTGTAACAAGAGGCTCTGTGCTTGCATAGATGAATCAGAGAAAAGATCCTCACACCTTATCAGACTGCTATGGTTTTGGTCAACTATAAGAGCTGGTTGTAGCTATTGCCAAAGATGCTACTAACAAACTGCTGGGATTCTTTTTAGTGCACATGCTGCCCTGATGACAGGTGTCATCAGGCCAACTGGAGTTTGAGACTGATGTAGAGGTCCAAGCATTGAGCTTGGAGATAGGTTTCTATCCAGAGTGTGCTTTTGTTAGCAATGACCATGGAAGAAGGCTTTGTGAACCACAGAGCACTGAGCAACACAGTCCATACATGTGCTTAATACCAGGCCCAATGAAAAATGAACAAAGAGGTATTACTGGAACTGTTCTTTTTAGGGTCAATAACGGTGTAATCGCCACATCTGAGAGCCTCTTCTGTGTTCTCTTCCTAGTTGACTCTGCAGTATGTGATGTCTCTAATCACATCCTCCCTTCCTAGAATTCTTCTCCTTTTGGCTTCTGTGGCATTCTTAAGTCACGGTTCTCCTCCTACTTCTGATTCTTTACAATCTCTCTTGTTGCCTTCTCAATGTACTAGAGTAAGTCTATGGACAAACTATAGTCCAAGGGTCAAACCTAGCTTGCCACTTACTTTTGTAAATAAAGTTTTATTGGAATATAGGCATATCAGTTTATTTACGTATCCTATTGGTTGCTCTCATGCTACAACAGCAGAGTTGAGAAGTCATGACTGTAGGGTTGGCAAAAACAATATTTATGATCTGGCCCTTTACAAATAGCTTGCCAACCCCGATAAATGGTGTAATTATGCATCAATTTTAATTTAAAATGGATAATTCAGTCACTGATACAATGCCTTATATACTACAGCTCTGATGATTAGAGAAATTACAACAGGAAATAAGAAATCCCAAGAAACCATTTGGCTCTAAGATATTCAGAGTCTGGTCTATGAAAGGTCTCCTGTGTACTGGAGCACTTCAGGA